TTCCACCACATTCACTTCTGTGGTGCAACTGGTTAGCACATTCGGCTGTGAACCGAAGGGTTGGTGGTTTGAGACCTGGTGCCGTAATTTTGTGAGAAATGTTATTTTCTTACTTCAGGAATTGTGTCTGGCAAAATAAATGAAAATCCAATCATTATTCTTCCCCTGTTATTCCTCAGGTGTCTTCATTTCCTTGTTTCTTGATTAAATTTCCCAAGTTCCTTCTAAATGCCAGCAGATATGAACACAGTCCCATCGTTCTGGACCACTTCTTTTGTTTCCAAACTCCATCTTTCTCATTGTGCTGGTCCATCAGTAGAGTCCCCCCAGCAAAAAGCAGCAGAAATCACTTGGCCAACGTCCTGCAGAGCTTGCCCTCTGCACTGAGCTGGCATTGTCTCTACCTGAATCAGTTCCTTGGGTCAGGCTTTGGATGTCACAATAGACCACGAATGAAAGTGGTGGAGACCTCTAGCTAGGATGTCTATAGGTTTCCTGTGACTGCTATTTTCCTAAATCATTAGACTCTCTCAAATTTTTTTCTTGCTTACAAAATGAATACCAAAGACCGTCTCTCTTAGACTCTGCAATTCCACTTCTGACAATTTTTTATGCAATTGCTATATTTGTATAGCTCAAGTTGACTCATGTAAGGATTATTCTTTTTAACACTTAAAAGAAAAAAAGATCAGAAGAAGCTGCACATCCATCCATAAAGTCCTGATTAAATAATCAATGATAATTGACACGATGGAATTGGAGGCCAAGGTGAAAAACAAAAATAAGCTCTCTGAATTGATTCACAGCCAATGTGCTGGGGGACATTGCTGGAGTCTGCTAACCCTGATAGCCCAGGTCATGCACAGACTGGCCACTACAATAACTGCTGAAGGTGGCTGGGCACACACCAGACAGCTGCAAAAGACTTTGCCAGGTTTCTGATGCCTCTCCCTTCAGCCTGCCTTCATGTCTCTAGTTAATAAGGGGTGCGAAGAAAGTGTAGTTTCAAGGGCCATTCTCACAGAAGATTGAAAACTTTTCATTTTCAATCTCAGCTCACTGCAACCTCCACCTCCGAAGTTCAAGCAATTCTCCTGCCTCAGCCTCCTGTGTAGCTGAGATTACAGGCACCCACCACCACAGCCAGCTAATTTTTGTATTTTTAGTACAGGCAGGGTTTCACCATGTTGGCTAGGTTGGTCTTGAACTCCTGACCTCAAGTAATCTGCCTGCCTCAGCCTCCCAAAGTGCTGGGATTACAGGCGTGAGCTACCACGCCCGGCCGATATTCATTTTCTTTAATATTCTGTCAAGTATTGATTTCAAGATGGGGGCCGGGCATGGTGGCTGTAATCCTATCACTTTAGGAGGCTGAGGTGGGTGGATCGCTTGAGAATGGGAGTTCGAGAGCAGCCTGAGCAACACAGTGAGATTTTATCTCCACAAAAAAAATCTTATAAATTAGCTGGGCATGATGGTACATGCCTGTGGTCCCAGCTACTCAGGAAGCTGAGGTGGCAGGATGCTTGAGCCCAGAAAATGGAGGCTGCAGCGAGGCATGATTGTGTCACTGGACTCCAGCCTGGTTGACAAAGTGAGATGCGATCTCAAAAAATAAAAGGTGGGTGGGCGGGGACCAGCAGATCTAATATTGGATCTTAAGCAGTTTGCTAAAATTCATATTAAGCCTCCTGGGGAACTGAGCATGTCCCTAGACTTCCACCATAGGATTTTCACCTCATAATTCTACTGCATATAACAAGGCAAATTGCAAGGAGAAAGGTTTTATGAGGAATCACAAAAAAGTAATTTGAGAGTACCTGTAAACATGACTTTTGAACGTTTTTAGTGCAGAGCATGGTGACTCATGCCTGTAATCCCAGTGATTTGGGAAGCCAAGACAGGGGAGGATCCTTGAGCCCAGGAGTTCGAGACCAGCCTAAGCAACATAGCAAGACCCTGTCTCTGGGGAAAAAAAAAAAAGTTTTTAGGCACCCAGACATACCCTATTAAAGCCTCCTTACTCTATCAGGAGTCCCACCTCAACTTACTTGGAAAGAAACCTGCCCACTATATTGCCATCTAAAGCAGAGTCCCAGCTTCTCAGTCAGGAGCGGAACGAAGCTGAATCAGAGTATACATTGCAACCACAGGATAATGACTTGAGAATTATTACTGTTTGTTGTTCTTGGTCTTAGATAAAATAAATCCACTCATATTTGCAGGTACACTTTATTCTTTAGTCTATGACATGTGCATTTCTCATGAGTCTCATGCAGTAAGCATTCACCATATACACACTGGGAAAAGCTGGGGAAAAGGTTGGTAACAAAGGATAAAATACTAAGCAAAATGAGTCTTATCTCTGAGCTCACTTTTAATGGGGCATAACATTATATAGTTGTGGATTCAATGAGTTAAGTCATATAAAAAAACAAAGTGCTGTTTAAATAGAAAAAAAATTATGGATGTAAAAGTAATTATTTTCCTGCCCTCAATAGGCTTAAAGTCAAAATGAAAGTTCCTGGGATATTTTCTTCCAACCACTTATTCTCATTCCTCACTTTTGACTTACCCAGCTTGCATGGCCACAGGTGTGAGCTCTTTGTACTGAACTGTTTTGGAGATCGAGTCTGAAATACAAACCCTTGAACATACTATTATCTAATGCTGTCCACCCTGGGAATGCAATTTCTTTCTTCATTCAAGAAAGTCTTAAATAAAACCCCTAAAGTACCACTATGTCTGGTACTTTCCAAGCTGTCAGCAACTTGACGGAAAGTTTCTTCTTCACCTTGGTATCTCTTTATCTAGCAGAGGTGGCAGTGGGCACTTGGAATTCTGAATAAATCAAAGTCAGCCTGTCAAATTCTGATTCTGGATTTTTCCGGTTCACTTGGAGACATCAATGGCATGTGGAAACAATCCACATGCAAACCCACAAGAAATAAACACAAAAACAAGACAAAAGTTTCTAAGTGGAAATGTAGTTTGTGTGCCAAGTATAAGAGGTATGTGGGTTGTGAGAAATATTATACCAAGCTTTACTGTATGATTCTTTTCATTCTTCCAAATAAAGTGCACCTATCCACAATGTGGCTAGTATATTTTACAGGCAAAGTAGACAAATTCACTGTACCCCATAAAACACACAGATCATCACACTGACAGAAGAAAAACAAAAACAGCACAAGCAAAATACAAATAATTATAATCATACTGACACTTTCTGAAACAGCCTCGAAAATGATCAGCATTTTGGTCTACATGAGACTGTGTAGACTGATTAAAACCTAGGTTTTCAGTTCCTTGTAGTGGCTTACACTGATCCTTTGAAGCCTACAGGGCTGCTTTGCCTATTTGTGAACCCTCCCTTGCCCCAGTCCCACAATATATAACCTGAGGTGCACTGGTTCTCTACTAAGCTTTGCCCACCTTTTCAGTGGTTCCAACCCAACACTCCACCCAGGAAGCATTGTTTGCAATTATGGGAGCACATCATACTCTTTGAGACTTCTGCTTTATCATTTTCCAGTTTACTTTCTAGGAATGACCTAGAAAAGTTGGCGAGGACTGACTCATCTCTGAAGACTGTGATCATCAATCAGGTTCCCACTGAGAGCACTCTATGACCTGCCGTGGCCCCCACTCCATCCCTTATATGCATCTACCATGATGCCTATCTTCTACTAGTGGCCTGAAGACTCTTAATGCCAAGGGCCATGTGTTATTATCTATTGTCACTGTTTCCTCCTCAAACAATGGCTTATAAAATGCTGACTTAACTGACTGATAAAGTGGGCTAAGATATTAAGTAGACAGAAATTAAACAGAAAAAAAAAAACCCAGATTAAATGGCAAGGTGGATGATGGGGGTGGGGGTGCTCTAAGATCAAGAGATGGAATGAAGGTGAAGGGAACACAAAATCAAAGTTGAAATTTGTCCAATGCCCCCTAATAAAAATAAAAAGGCATATAAAAATATTTTTATTTTCTACAAACACATTTGGAAGAACTGTATTTCTTCCCAACCCCATTAACTGTCATTTTTTCTACATAAAAAAGATGCTAATACCACCCTCACCTGTGACTACTAAACAGAAAAAGATTGCCTGGACTAGGCATTATCCCCCTTGTTGGAAATAAAGGCCCTTCCTGGAGGCAGGAAGTGGGATTTTTAAGAGGCAGGCAGTCAAGAGTCAAACAAAACAAGCATATGCAGTAGTCATAATCATGTTAGTATGACAGTATGAATTAGGTGACTCAGCCAGGCATGTACAGGAGTTCGAAGAGGGAACAGTAGAAGCCCACAAAAACACGTTTGGGCCCTGACCAGAGACATTTGGTCTGAAAAACACAATAAAATGTCTGCCTGGGTAGTCACAATCCTTCTAGTATGAGGTGGACAGGAAGCAGAGCAGGGCCAGGAGATGGAAGGGGCCTTCCTGGCCCTCATGAGTCGCCGACCAGGGAAGTTCCCTCCATGCTCTCTGAGGGTGGCGGGGCTCCAAAGATCCTGGCCAGGAGCCCTTTGTTGGAGCGGGCCTTGTCTTGGACAGTTGCCAGGCGAGCCCGTTCACGCCCCCCTGGCCGTGCTGCTTTCCGGGCTCTCAGTTCCTGCTCAGTAGGACGCTGGGCAAATGTCCAGGAGCCATCTGGGCGGGCAGGGTCCGCATCAGCAGCAAGAAAGCGTTGTCCCCGTTCCACACTTTGAAGATAAAAGTCGGTCTCACGCTTGGCCTGAGCAACCTCCACTCTCAGGCGCTGCCTGCGCACCTGGCGCTCAAAGGCAAGGTGCTCGCTGAGGTGGGACCAGGTGAAACGGTGCAAGTACTGTGGGCAGAAAATCAGAAAAGATCAGGATAGTGCAGATTAGAGAGAAAAGGAGCGGGGGCGGGGGTGTGCGGGCGCAAGGCCAACAAGAGGCCATGGGGATACTTGGACCAGGGTTGCGGAGATGGGAGGGTGAGAGGTATGGCAGAAAGATCTAGCTCCTCACCTTGAGGTTCCACAGGTCATAACGGAAGGGGCTGCGCCTGCGGGCACCCATAGGCGTGTTGTGGAGACTGGCCGCCACGCGCTTGGCTACGCGCTTGTCGCGGAACTCCACCCATCCCTCGGTGTAGTCCTTGCTGTAGGACCGCTTTTTTCCTCCCGCGGCTGCTGCTGCCTTCTTTTTGCGTCTCACGAACCTGTCTGCGACCCAAAGACAAAGCCCCGTCGAGGATGCCTAGGCTGCACTCCCTCAAAAGCACCTCCCACTGCCCACATTGTTCTTCATTTCTGCCAGCCGGTGTCCCACCTGAGAGTTTCCGCCGGAGGGAGGGAACTGTTAAGTCGCACTCTTTCCTCTATCTAACTCAGTTCTTTCCTCAAATGTCCACTCCTTAATCTGGCCTGCCCTGAACGCTATTTAAAACCTGCACAAGTCCCCAACCTCCAGTAGTGCCTGTAAGGGGGTGGAAAGACCAAGGGCGACTGATCGAATCGTTTCTTGACCAAGGCCGCGATGCCAAACGTGTATGTTCAGTTTTGTAGAAAAGCTGACCAGGTTTTTACTCAGGTTCTACTCATGAAACAAACCAGTAGACAGGTCCGGAGAGAGAGGTGAGCAGAACCGGAGTAAGAACGCAAATAGCGACAATCCGAGAACTAAAGAACCACCAGACACACTGCGCTACCTAGTCTCCCCAGATCCCCACCGCCGCCCACCCCAGCATCCTCACAGACTGATTCCTTCACCAGCCAGGAGCCGAGCACCGCACTGCCCATCGCCCAAATCCAGCAGCTCGCGCCTCAGCCCTGCGCAGCGAACCAACAGGACATGCATGCTTCCCCCCGCCAGCGAGCGACGACCTCCTCCTTTCACCGCCAGGGCCTGCACACTTACCCTCAGCCTGAAAGAAAACGCGTCCCACCTCGCCGTAGGCACTGAGAAGGTTGCGGACGTGCAGGGGCCGGAAGCGCGGCGGGATATGGCCCAGGTACACAATACCTGGCACTACCCGCTTCTTGCTGCCACAGGCCGCTTCTTCGGATTCCTCCTGCTCCTCCTCCGCGTCTAGATCCTGGTCTGTCCCTTCCAGCGGCTCTTGCTCCGTTGCGGCCTTCTCCGATTCCTCTCCCTCCATGTTGACTGACACGAACAGCACGACAGCCGTAAAGTGCCTTGCCAACAGACGCAAAAAGCGTGCGACGGCCTGAGACGCGGAGGTGGGGCCGAGGCGTTATTGACAAATGAAAAGATTGAGCTAGGCAGGCGGATCCCGGAGATACCCGAGTGGAGAGGGCGGAAGTAGGGTGTCGGGTCGGAAGCCAGATTATGAGCGTGGGAGCGGGATGGAACGCTCGGGTTAGGCTCACAGATTCCCGGTCAGATCTTCAATTCAGGACAGGCAGAAGCAGAAAAGACAGATCCCCAAATATAACCTACCCTATAGAACGCCTAGTTGAGATGGTAAAAGTCAGGTTGATGCTGGCTTTTTGGAGAGTTTTGCAGAACAGTTTTAGGGAAGTTTCTATGTGTTCTAGCCATCCAAATAGCATTTTATTCAAGGGCCCCGGGTGCGATTACAGCTGAGGAACGACAGTTTTTTAAAGTTGATAAATTTCGTTTTAAAAATTTAAGTTTGAGTTTTGAAGTTTTAATTCTTTCTGGAAGGCCGGGAGCGGTGGCTCACGCCTGTAATCCCAGCACTTTGGGAGGCCGATGCGGGCAGATGTCAAGGTCAGGAGTTCGAGACCGGCCTGGCCAACATAGTGAAACCCTGTCCCTACTAAAAATACAAAAATTAGCCAGGCGTAGTGCAGCGAGCCTCGAGTCCCAGCTACTCGGAAGGTTGAGGCAGGAGAATCCCTTGAACGCGGGAGGCGGAGGTTGTTGTACTGAGCCAAGATCGCACCACTGCACTCCAGCAAGACCCTGTCTCAAAAACTAAACTAAAATAAATTATTTCTGGAAATTTACTTCGGAATTTTGCCTATTTTAAAATTTAAATTTTGAAAACAGTTTAATTTTGGAAATTTAAGTTGCTTTTAGTCTAATATTTTAAATTTGATTTTGTGAATGTCTAGAAATGTAAATACAATTATTTGAACCATTTGCTTGGCATCTATGACACATGTGTATTGATACAGTATCCACATGCATCCTTACGCTGCAAATACATGTCAGAGGCACACACGACTCACAATTCTGGCGACTCCCGGGCAATGCGTTTAGTTCTGCTCACCCTGGGTCTGTCCTCAGAGATTCCCCATCAGATCACAACCCACTTTTCCTTCTATGACCGACGCAACCACAGAACTGACCGGGCCCCGGCGGTCCTGCTCCCGCCAGGAGGACCGCGGACCTTTCCTAAATCACACCCAGGGCCATTTTCCCCTCGCGGGCTCGGTTCCTCAGCCTGTTATCGTGGCCCGAGGGTGCTCCCAGCAGGGGGCGCCGTCCCCACCCTTGAGGCGCTTCAGTTACTCGGATCGGTGCCAGCGCGAGGCGGACTGCAAAAGGCAGTGCTGGGAACCGCGTACAAGTAATCCGGTTGGCTTTCTGGAAGCAGCCCGGGGAGGGTTTGAGGACCATCAGTACAAAATTTCCCATCTCGCTCCAACAGGAGCGCAGAGTAGCCCAGAGAATGGAAGCAGGGGGTAAATGTGTCCACTGTTAAAATCAGAGATGGCAGTTTTCGCAAGTCCCCAAGTATATTTATAAAGTTAACAGGGCGCCGAGCTGTATCACGGAGCGTCTGAAAGTCTAATGATAGACTCTTCGAATTCTCACACTTCTGTTGCATTAGCTTTATTGAAAACTTGCTGTCAGGTGTCCACTGCTTCTTTTCTGAAGAGGAATGGGGTACGATGACAGTAATAAACTCCGTCTATTGCTATTTAATTCTTAACACTGACATCTTCAAAACACAGCATAGTTAATGAAATGAGAGCACGTGTTGGGGTCGCTTTAAAAGATCGGGAGTTAGGGGAGGGGCATGATGCAAGAGTCTCGGTCAGTTGTGCCAGTGTGGTAGCTAATGGTAGTTCTTCAGGCTGATTCTCTACCTGGTATATATTTGAAATTATCATTGATAAAATGTTTATTCACACCAACTATCAACATAACAGCTAAAGGACCGTCGAACCGCCAAAAAAGAAAAAAAAAATGAAGCCTTGGGCAGCGTGTTCTTCCCGCTCTCCACATTCTTCATGATCCCTTCTCAACTTGGTGGAAATTAGGTCTCACTCAAGAGACTTTTTCTCTCAGTTGACTGTCCTTGAAGCAAGGCTTGTTAGCAATTTTCAGTGTGGATTCTTTTCCTTCTGAGCGTCTTACAAATTCATGCATAAATAAGCAAGCTGCTCACTCACCGCGTCCTGTAAGTTGGAGAGATCCTTTTAAAAGGAAACTCCTTCGAGCCGGACTCGAACCAGCGACCTAAGGATGACCACATTCAAACCCCTACAGTCCTCCGCTCTACCAGCTGAGCTATCGAAGGATGTTGTGGTGCACTGCTTGGATACTTTAGGATTTACCTATTGCTTTTGACTATCCTGTAGTGATGCTCATTTTGAAAACATAGGAAAACGTAAGGAAGTTTTTGAGGATATTAGAAATGTTTCAAAATGTTCTAAAATGTTTTAATCTGAGTACGGGTAGTGAACATACAAGTGTATGAACAATTCATTTCCTTGAACATTTAAAATTTGTGTGTTTTACTGTAAAATTGTTTGACATCGGTCAAAAAAAAAAAAAAAAAATTCTGTGTCCTGCTCCCTTAGGTAGAATAGATAGGAACATTGCCCCTATTAAGCGTGTTGTCCCTCTGTCCTGTCTGCTTAGCACCTCCTCTCTTTATGGGAAGGGATAATAAAGGTAAGCTTATATTAAACACAGACAACTGGGTTGAAGAGAGGAGACCTACCGCCTTGAATCGGAGTTACTGCCCAGTTCATTTTGGAAACATTGAAATTCTCCTTTCTGAAGGGCAAGGAAAATCATAGAATTTGTGTAATTTGTGTTCAAGACACAAAACACGAGAAGCCCGTTGTGTGTGTACATATGTTTAGGAATGGAGCAGCTCATATGATATCGCACAATTGTAACGGCACAAATAAAATATACCACTCTCCCTCCCTCACAATTTAAAACAGATGGAATGTAACATTCCACTTACAGGTGTCAACCTAATAACAGAGAGAAGCTCTCTGAAAGAAAGTGTTTGCTTGGGAATAGAGCATTGCTATGAAAATATGGGTGCCATTGGAAATTATGTATATGCAGGAGGCAAAGGGAGACAAAGGTTTTTATTTTACTTTTTTTTTTTTTTTTTTTGAGTCG